GGATCCCTGCACCATCTGGGCTTTCGACTGCTAAGTCCACGACTGTTGTCAGGAGCTTATTATGTTGGTTCCGTCCGAGCACCGTTTGAATATTCCGAGGCCAATTCTTCCCTTGTTCACTTTGCCCAAAAGAATGAACCCTGAGGGTCCACTGTTTAATGAATTGCACCTTTGTGTTCCTCTATCAGGACACTGGCTACCTGGCTCTAAATGGATCAACTTCATCCTCACCCTCACACCTGTGGAGTCTTGTAGCGTATTGGTTAGAGCACTTGCCTCGCAAGCGAGAAGACCTGGGATTCCCAGGCAGGGAGAAACCTTCATCAAGTTTCCTTACTCCACACACCTCTGTTTACCCAGCAGTAAATAGGAACCTGGTTGTTAGTCGAATAGCAGATTGCTTTCCTTGGGTTCAAAAGAATCTGTTCAAAAAAAAATTGGTCACTCAATCCACGGCTGTTTGTGGAACACTGCTGTGTGCAATTGACTACCAGGTTTTGCCCACAAAATACACAGTAAATTCACTTTATAATTCTGTTAAGCGCTTTGAGACATCTCAACACGTGATAAGATGCTATATTAAAAGCAAGGAATTATTATTATTATTATCCCTCCATACCCAAGCACCTTCCTATCTCTCTGATCTGCTCATACCCCACTACTTGGCTCTCCGCTTAGTTAACCCAGTTTTGCCATACACCCTCGTGCCACCATCGGTGGCTGACCTTTAGTCACTATGCCCCTCACCTCTGGAACTCGTTGCCTTTGTCGTCCTCCTCACCCCCCTCTCTATCTGTGTTTAAATTCCACTAATCTTAAACGCACCTCTTTGACTGTGCCTGTGGTCACCTCCCCCTTCCCCCTCGCTCGGTAACTAATCCCACCACTGCACAACACATCGAGACATCATCTGATATGAAAGGTGCAAAACGACTCAGCTTGTAGCACTCTCGCCTCTGAGTCAGAAAATTGTAGGTATAAGCCCCACGCCGGGACTTGGAACTAATATAGGCTGACCTTCCAATGCAGAGCTGCAGGTATGTTGCATTGTTGGAGGTGACATCTTCAGATGAGATGTTAAACTGAGGTTCCATCTGCCAGTCCAGGTGGACGTTAAACATCCCATTGCACTATTCACAAAGAGAAGGGAGTTTTTCCCTTTATCCAAACTATAGCAGAGCTGAGATACACAGCATAGCATAAGAGATGCAGAATGGTTTTAGGAACCCGGTTGTTAGTCGATTGACAGATCACTTTTCCAGGGATAATAATTCCTTCAAAATGAACACAAATAATTTGGTTGCTCAATCCACGACTGTTTGTGGGATGCTGCTGTACGCAATTGGCTGCCACGTTTGGCCCACAAAAACACAGTCAATTCACTTTACAGTATATTCTGTGAAGCGCTTTGAGATGTCCAGAAAACACGATAAGGCGCTATGTCAAATGCAAGGATTATTATTATTATCTCACTATATCACAACATGGTGCGTGGGCACTCCAGTCACCATTGCCAATATGCTGAAATGTTCGGGTGGTTGGGGGAATGAGACAAGTGGAATTGAGGGCCAGGCTCACTTCTTGAATTACCTACCATCCGCATGGCCTGACTCTAATTTACAGATTGAGAGAAATTGAAAGCGACTATTTAAGGAGGAAAGGAAGATTGATTTGGATATTTAAGAGCAGGCAACAATCAGCCTAGAGCCTCCCTGCGAAACTAGAAAATTTGCAGAATCTCTTCAATCTGTTTCGCATTGACAGAAATGTTTTTTTCTAACCTGAACCTGACAATGAAACCTCACAGAAATCCAAGCCGCAAAACACGACTGTTCTGATGAATACACACTAATTGGTAATTTAATTCGTCAACATAAAAGCACGTATCAAATCTGTAGTCTCAGTTAAGGAAGCTGATCCTGTCTCGGTGACATTTTTTTTCATATCTATTCTTCATCGTCTCCTTGAAAGGTGAAAGCGTGGAAGTGAAATTGCATGTAAAATATTAATAAGATTGCTGTGGGCTTAATATATTCTTTGTTTCTTCATAGAATTTGCATGTACATTACCTGTCCTTTCATTTATCATTCATCTTTCGGAGAGCATCTTTTCATTCCACATTCATTCCTGGCTGTTGCACAGAACAAGATTATGTGTGTTGTGTTAGCTTCCCTCAAATCGTAAACTACGAAAAATGAAGGCCCTTTCAATATTCTGAACATGTATCACTGCAACTCTCTTTAAGAGGCAGCAGATATAATAGGGAAGACAAATGGTGAGCATCTCACTAACTCTATGCTTGAGGAGCTAAACAACCTTGTTCTGCTGATTGTTAAAGCTCATTTCTTTCCACAGTTTGCCGTTTGGCCCTGTTCACAGACTGAGTTAACATTCAGAATAATAATAATATTCTAAAGGATGGGTGCCTCAGGATTTGACAAATTTACACGCTGGCTAGAATCCTTACTGATTTCCACAGAATCACAAGAATAATTTGGATGAGCAACGCTCTTAATAATACTAATCAAAGATTATTTCTTCCCATCCTTCCCCCGGAGCCAGGGGGAGGGGTGGGAAGGTGACCAAAGGCGCGGTCGAAAAGAAAGGTCTTCAGCAGAGACCTAAAAATGGGAAGGGAGGGAGCGAGACGAAGGGAGTGAGGAAGGTAGTTCCAGAGCCTCGGGGTATAGTGGCTGAAGGCACGGCTGCCGAGAGTGGAGCGGAGGACTTGGGAGACAAGGAGGAGGCCAGACCCGGAGGAACGGAGGCAACGGGTACTGTTTTGAGGAGAGAAGAGGTCAGAGAGGTAGGGGGGTGCAGAGGAGTGCAGGGACCTTGAAATCAATCTTCTCTGGGATAGACAGCCAGTGCAGTCTGGCAAGGACTCGGGTGATCGGGGAGCAGAGTTTCATGCGGGTGAGAATGCGGGCGGCAGAGTTTTCAATGGTTTGGATTTTATGAATGGTAGTGGATGGGAGACCGGCGAGGAGGGCGTTAGAGTAGTCCAGCCGAGAGGTGACAAAAGCATGGACCAGGGTTTCAGACAGTGCTTTTCATGTCAGGCTGATGTCTCAGTGCTTCACAGGATTTAGTTTCTGCACAGCAATATCCCACAAACAGCCATGGAGTGAATGATCAATTTTATTTGGGGGATTGTTGGCCATGACACCGAGCGAGAGAAACTCCCTTCTCTTTTTGAATAATGCCATGGGAATCATTAAATTCCACCTGAATAGGCAGACGGGACTCGGTTTAATGCAGCACAACCCCAGCACTGCACTGGAGCATCAGGCAAGAGTATATGAGTTTAAATTCCCGAAATAAGGCTTGAACCCACAACTTTCTGCTACCAATTGAACCAGGCTGGCACATGCTTCTCAGCCTATTGGTCTCATCTTTCCAGCATCTTCCAAGTTGTCATTCATCATTAATGTTTTATGGAGATATTTTATGGTGATATTTTTGATTGATGAATGCAATTAAAAAGAAATTCCATTCCATGAATGAGGCTGACATTACTTGAAACAATTACCTGTGGATTGTATTGCTGTTCAGCTACAAATACACAGTCACTTCACTTTGTAGCAATTACTTGTGAAGCTCTTTGAGAATTTTTGGATTTTGTATGTGCTACAGTGGTGTTCCATTCTTGCGTAATGGATGGGATACGTAAAATATAGCACAGCGCGTTAACAGGTCATCGCATCCCGGCCTACGGCACTTCCTGTTTGCTGTGCACGTGCAGACCAGGAAGTGAGGTTAGCAGGGACCATTTTGTGCACGAGGAACGTCTCTGCAGATGTAACTTCCTCTCTGTGAGTGCGCAGAAAATTGTTGGCATCACAATACATAACCAAACCTACTAGAGTGGGTAGATTAGAATATGCCTTATTTCTTCCTGTGCATGCACAACACAACAGGCACCTGCCTTATAATAGAGCCTGCATTGTGATGAGGCATGTTATAATGGGGTTCCACTGTGTATATATTCAGTACATCCATCCTACATGTATATCTTGTAAAACAGAGAGGAGCAGTTGGTGTCTAAAATGCCTGTTGATGATAGAGCTAAAAAGAAATGGCATTGCATCAGAGGTTTTGGTATATCAGAAAGCCCAAAACAGTTGTGAAGTACTGGACAAAAACAACAGCAGCTTCTGTACCTTTTGATTTATCACCAGTGATAATTATTGCATCACATTTTTTGTTCCGTTATCTGAAAGAGGGTTTACCGCCTATGTGTCTTTCTGCGCAATTTGCGGCAATGGAACAAAAGGTGATTGATTTCCGGCGTTCAGTGCTTTGGCACTGCTTGTGTTCTGCCACTCTTAGTAGATTTACAGCAGTCTTTATGAGTGGACAGTGATGTGGGCATTACACCATCCCAAATATGTGATAACTAGAAGGAGTGTTGGTGGGGTGGGGGGGTTGTTGTTTAGCAAAATACCTTTGTGATGATATCTCTCACTCCCTCACCTCGTGCAAGGTCCATCTGAAGACTGCATTTTTTTTCATCTCCCCCCTCCCCCCCACACAGTTGTCACAGCCAGCTCGGGTGGCCAGCTAGTGCCAATGCCAGTGAAAACCACCCCAATGCCATTGATATCCACCTCAATGTCATTGATATCCACCCCAATGCCAGTGATAATCACCCCAGTGTCATTGATAATCCCCCAATGCCAGTGGTAATCACCTCAATGCCAGTGATAATCACCCCAATGCCAGTCATAATCACCCCAATACCAGTGATAATCACCCCAATGCCAGTGATAATCACACTGATGGCAGTAATGACTCCTTTTGCCTTTTGTAATGACTTTTACTTTTGGTCGATATGATAATAATGGCCTGCTGCAATTGTGACCCTTTTAACTCCCAAGTCTTCTCCTAGAAATGGCTCAGACCAATAGATTATGGAGTCGAAATGGTTTGAACATTTTGTTATCAAGTTGCCAGGTGTCAACGACGAGACTTAAATGTGTATTTGTTTTCAATTCCAGGTTGATCGCATTATCTTCTGTGTTTTCTTGGAAAGCGACCATAAGATCTACAAGGAGAAAATGCTGCAGCATTTTCCTATAGGTATTCTATTTATTAATTATTCCTATTTTTTAAAACAAAAAGTTTTTAAATGCCTAGCTTTGCTAAACCAATTTTTATGTCATTTGAACTGGAATATCGTGAGTCTGGAACATGTCAAATCAAGCCAGGCTGGAGACAGGATCTTGTGGAATTATCTGAGAGAAGGAGCTTAGATTGTGTTTAGAAGAATGATTAAAATCAATAGTTGATTGTCTAGGATTCTGGTTTCAATTTGCTCTTGAGATGGACACCATTGAATCTGGGTTTGATTGAAGCCTCTGTATTGTGTTACTGGAAAGGGTAAGTAGGTGAGCTACTGTAGTCACATCTTCAGACATGGTCATGAATATTAATGCATTTCCCTCAAACAGGATCAAGTTGGCAACCAGGTTTTGAGTCAACTGCATTTGTTGCATTAACTGTGCCAAGCACACTAAGACGCCAACGCCCGTAAAGTGTGCTAAATATATTCTTGGTGTTGCTCTTTGAGCTCTCTAAATAGTGAATCTCCTCTGGGTGTTTGAGTATGAAGGTCATCCCTTCAAACAAAAAGCTCTTGAGAAGATTGGAATCCTTTGCCCAGTATGTGTATGAACAATAATAATGATAATAATAATCCTTGCATTTGATGTAGTGCCTTTCATGTCAGGAGGACACCTCGAAGCCAAGAATGTTTTGCAGTGCACAAATTGGCTGCCACTTTTGCCCACAGAATTCGCAGCATTGTATTAGAGTGTCAGCCTAGATCGTGAGTTCAAACCCCGACGTGGGGCTTGAACCAACAACCTTCGGATTCAGAGTTCTACCAACTGAGCCAAGCTGACCTGAGCCAAGGTTGTTTGTGTGAGGAATTTATAGTACAGAAGCCCAAAATTCCTAATTCCCACAGCAGCTTAAAAGTTTGTGTATCAATCTTCAAGTTTATTTTATTTTTGTCTAGTTAACGAGCAACAGTGTTAATTCATCTTGTGATTGGTACAATTGTTAATATGGTGGTGAATTGAGGGTTTGGTTATTTTCCAAAGAATAGCTCAAACTGTAATGAATTGCAACTACATTAAATGATAATTCAGTGGAACGGGCTCCGGCCTGCTTCACTATGCCCCTACCCTCTGGAACTCCATCCAGCAGTCCCTCCGCCTCGCCCCCTCCCTTGCCACCTTCAAGTCGCATCTCAAGACCCTCTTCTTCGACCATGCTTTCGATCACCCTGCTCCCCCCGCTGCCCTCAACCCTCCCTGATCCTGACCCCCAGCTCGGGTTCGAAACACTGACTGTCCTGCACCTTGGGACGTCCTCTCGACGTGAAAGACGCCATACAAATGTAATTTTGTTGTTGTTATTAATTACTCAATTAAATTAGCATTCAATGCAGTTGCAATTCATTACAGTTACCGTTCTATGTGTTCCCTGTCACAGCATCAAGCTGTATTTTTTAAATGAGTCACAGTGTCCTGGCTTCAACCATCTTTCCTGGCAACCTGTCCCAGTCGTGAATTACCCTCTGGGTAAAGAAAAACGACTTCCCTGAAATTACTCGTTATAACTCTTAACCTGTGTCCTTGTTCTTGGTGCATCAGAACTGCTTTCTGTGAATGTCTGCACTCTGGGTTGCTACCCTGCATGAGGGATGCTGTATAAAACAAAATCTGTGTTGAAGTTATTGTCTGCAAATCTATCCAAACACATATCAGTGTGGAATTTCTGTAGGACAACAATTGAAAGATACTGCAAATGGTTGGTTAATGTTCTGATTGAATAGAAGATCATTTTATATGGAAAAAGCCATATAAATAATCCATTTTGGGATGAATTGTTCTTTCTTGTGCAAACAAATCCTTGCACTGGGTTCCATTTACGCAAAAGGATGTTTATCTGCCAAAAACTGAAAGAAAGGAAGGACCCAGTTCCTGATCCACCCAGTCCAATGTCGAGCAGTGTCAAAACTCATTTCTGTTTCTCAAACATATCCCTAGAATTTAAACTTGAGATTTATGTGTTTCATTTATGCTGCAGTTGGGAGCAGGTAGCCAGGGGTACTTCCCTCTGGGAGCAGAGTCCACATTCCTTTCCAGACAAGTGGAAATTTCCATACATTTGTGATACCCTCGGTAGTTTGCCTTGGAAACTCTTGAGCCTGGTGAAAGGTTTCTGCATGTGCCAATCAACTAGCTGAAAAACTATCCCTTCACACCCTGGCGCCCCTCCTATCTCTACAACCTGCTGCCTCCCTGCACTACTACCCGCTGCCTCCGCACAACTAGCTTCAGCCTCCTTCTTGTCCCCCAGACCCTCTATCCCACCATCGGCGGCCGTGTTTGTAGCCACTACGCCCTAAAGCTGTGGAACTTTCTATTTCAATCCCTTCGCCTTGCCCCGCTCTCTCCCCATTTTCAGGTCACGCTTGAAGACCTTCCTCTTTGACTGTGCCTACGGTCACCTTCCCCCTGATTCGGCATTGGGCTCCGCCACTGTTAAGCACTCCGAGACACCGTCCTACTTGAAGGACGCTATATAAATGCAAGTTGTTGGTGGTGTTATGCTTTGGCTCTGCCTATGTGAGCTCTGCCTTCCTAAAGGGAGACACTTCCAATGGATAAACCTTCGACTCCAACTATTCAAGGGAGTAATTTAGAACAGGCTTATTAACAGACTTATTTTGAACAATGTTTTTAACCTGCTTTTTCACAGGAAAGAGCACGCTATAAATTGGAGTTGAGCACCATGATCTGAAAGCCAATCTCACCGCAGTCGAGCCCATTATCAAAAGCTGCTGTTTTTTCATCTCCAGTAATCTCAGAAATAGAGTGCGCGCTCCATTCCAACAATTTTATCTCAGGAATTTCCATGTGTAGATGGGATGCATGGAATTCTCAGTTTGGTTTCGATACTCTTAAGCATGGTAATGGATGTACGCATGTTTCAGACATCTGGCTGACCAAAATAATAAATACATTGTTCTTGAATAATAAGCCATTCAAGTTAATGTTAGAAGACCCTGTGATATTGGGGCAAAATCTGCCTGAATCCTCCAGCCAATTGCTAGATGTTAATTGTTGTGACCTAGCAGAGTGAGGAATTCAGCCCTCCTAGGCAGATCAACCGCAAAGGCGCTATATCAAATATAAGGACTATTTTTGTTATTATACAAGTCCATCTCACAGAGATTAGCCTGTAAAAGCAAACTTACACCAGGTAGAATCCATGATGAAGTTAACTATGTGTTGAGCATATGTTGTGCTTCAAAACTGATGAAGTAGGCCAAGACAATTGATTTAACAGTTGTTTTAAACTCTATCTAGCCTAGAGTGAGACTGAGACATGAAGCATGATTGCCTGCCTCCTGTTTGTATCAGTGTTTGTGCCGCACATTAGGAAATAAGCATTTAAAATTGGTTTACAAGCAAACACAGTCTCAAGGAAAAACATGCACGCACACATCAGGAATGATACAGTATCAAGAACTTCAAATTAAATTGTACCAGCGTACACCACCAGACGCTCAGCAGATCAGCAGTATTGCAGGCTGTGGAAACTGCTGCTCTGGGCCATCCACATTGACGTGCGTGGCTTGCCCTGTCAGTGTTATTAACTATGGGAGGCAGAGAATTAACGAATGTTCGCATCTATCTCAGCGGGATCTATGCCTGCAATTTAGAGGAGCCAGAGATGCCACACAGTTTGGGTCCTGACAAATAAAAGCAAGCCCGGGGAAGATGTATACGTGAAAGGAAAAGGGATCGTAGGACACCATTCTGATTATTTTTCTCGTGGTCCCAAGCTATTAGCAGTAGACTGGTTCAGCAAACTGCATTCATCTCATTTACACTGCTCCGTGCTGTGAATATGTGAACTGTCTTCGACCTGTCAGATATCGCAGGCTACCCTTTGTGCAGCACCAGGAGAATGGCAAAGTTAGACATGGAGGTCGGAAAGGACTGCCTCAGGAATGCAGCAGTTTTATTGGCAAGCAACCACCAGAAACCTCTCTTCCCCCCCACCCCACCAAGCTCAAGTCTGGTCAGTCAGTGGGATGCATATTGTATTCCTGCGTCACAAGGCACTTTTTCCAGTGGGTGAGCGCCAGTAACCCACCGCTTCCCCGAGGAGCACTTTTGTTAGCACTGTGATGTGGGTTTTTTGGTCAGCCTGACACATGCGGAAACCCATCACCGTGCTTAAGAGTATCCGAAACTAAATGAGAATTCCATGCATCCCACCTACGCACGGCAACTTCCGGAGATAGATTGTTGGAATGGAATGCTCACTCACTCCCTGTAGGGACCCATCCTGCTTACCTTATTTTGGAAAATATTTTGGGGCAGGTTGGCAAGAGCCAGGACGTGTGCGTTTGTGTAGTGCTGGAATCTAACCAGCTAAAACTGCAGAGCTTGCCATCGATAGCACTGTCTGGCAAGCTTTCCAACTAATTGTCCAGCTAGGGCCAGCCTACCCATTAGGGCTTTGGCTTGCAGGGTTGTTCACCTGACATTTCTTGATCCAACCGAACATTTACTGAAAATGGAAAATTGCTTCCTCTCCTGCAACAGCTGATATATTTAAAGGCACGCTGTATCGCACGTATTAATGCTTGATAGATTTGTCATTTTGCCTGCAAAATACACGGTCATTACGCTTTGCGGTGTATCCTGTGAAGCACTTTGAGACGTCCTTCTCAACGTGAAAGGTGCTATATCGAATGTAAGGACTATTATTTTTACATGGGTTTCTCCTTTGTGGATTGGGTTAACAAACCAAGAGCAAAACATGGAGGCATAATTAACCAAAGGAAGGCAGGTGATTCTGGATTCCTTTACAATGGTTGTTAGTTACAGAATTCAGGACACTGTGTGCATTTGCATGTGGAATTGTTAGCGCTCAAAACCCACGTTGTGACTTTGAACTGACACAGTCTAGGCTGTTGCTCCAAAGCATAGCTGGGTGTGCTGTCCCTTTCTTGACACGTTAAAACGTTCTGTGCCTGTTCAGGTGGATGTTAA